GAACATGTTTTGCTCTGGTTGTGGACAGGAAAAGTTGGCACAAGATGCCAATTACTGCTCAAAGTGTGGAACTAAGTATTCGGAAGGTGCAAAGCCCACTGGTGCGCCAAACAAGAAGTCGTTCGCTGAATTTCGCAAGCGGAAAGAAGATAATCGCACGCAACATTTTCACAAGAAATCCAAGTTAAACACTATCCCTACAAGTATTCAAGATGTTACAATTCAGATAGGTTTGATGGCTACCAAAGACGGCGAAATAAGAGTGAAACGGGGCTCCAACCTTCCATTGAAAGTGTCGCCTGTAACCAAATATGACGAGTTACGAGAAAAAGCAGTGGAAAAACACAGTGTATTCAACACTGATATTCTCAATCGACCGACGGGATTCAAACTGCTTTATCCAGATAAACGCATTGCTGAGAAGGTTCCTGGCACAAATGAGGAATTTGTGCTTAAGTTATACAAGGATAAGCTGGGAAAGCCATACAGCAGAATAACTCTGTATCTAGCCACCCATAGCGACTACCTTGAGCATCTTACTTCTGGATTGTTCGATGATGAATACTCTGAAGGCTCAGATGACTACCAAAAGCTAGCCAGCTCCAGCACTACCACTTCTACTTCTACTTCTCTAAGCATTGAAAATGGCAACAACACTAGCATAACAAATCCAGCTGGTTCTACTCCCACTTCCTCTAGATTGTTTGCTGTTGTTGAGGACGATTGTGCGAAAAGCATTACCACTTCCTTTCCCACTCCAACAACTGCAAGTGCTTTAACTAACACTAGTACAACAAATACATCCAGCCAAGTAGTAGTTTTTATGCCTACTCCTACATCTCCTAATGATGATCAACAGCCATCGACATCTGGCTTGGTTGAATGTCCAATCTGTTTGGAGTTGTTTTGTTCCTCAGATGTTGAGGAACATGCTGCATCTTGCTCAGCATGGTTGTTAGAGGATGAGCAGCCTTATGACTTGAAAGCTGACTCAAACAATGAAACCACATCAATGGCTGACTATGATCCTAAAGAGGCAAAAAGGATCTTAAAAGACGAAATCACGAAAGTTATGGGTGGATGGCCAACAATACAGGTGACTAGGGTCTCTTTACGAAGAAAGTTCCTGTGGGAAGATTTTAAAAGTGCAAGGCAAAAAAAAATCCAACCCACATCTGTTGTTAAAGTGGTCTTTGTTGGGGAGCCATGTGTAGATGATGGTGGACCGAAAAGGGAATTGTTTACAGGTATGTACTGAAAGTGTTTGTCTGGTACTGAAAGATTTAATAAATGTTAAAAGACTAGTACTGACAGCAGCATAAAATGCAATTTGATTATGACCTTTTCACTTCATTCCAGAGTTGTTATCAATGATGCAGACAAAGTATTTTGATAGTGGCTATCCAACAACATCGGGTGTTGCTTTGGCCAGCAATGATTTCAAGCTTTGTGGAGAGATAATGGGCATGTCAATCTTACAGGGTGGACCAGCTCCCAACTTCTTGGCACCACCAATGGCAAACTATATCCTGGGAAAGGAGCTATCCCCAATCGACATCAAGGATTCTAAACTAAAAGAAGCTGTTGATAATGTAAGCTAGATCATTGGTAAGATAAAGAATATTAATGGGAATGATTGATAGGCAGTGTGTGGTTCTTGCACTGGTATACAAATATGTAACATTGTTACTAGGCAGTACTACCTCTGATTACAGTGGTAAGCCTAATAGCAGTATACTTTAGGTAAATAATTTTGTTTGATGGTTTTATGAATTTATACTTTAGTTATCAAAGGCAACCACAGATGCTGAGGTGAGAGAATCTCTCATGAGTGAAAGGACTTTCGAAGTACTTGGAATGATTGGGTACAGAAGTATTCCACAAAGAGAAACAATCACATCTGCCAAGGCAATTGTACAGTATGTAGATTATTTTCAGATATAATACTAACTAATATGAAATACTGTAACTAACTATACAATACATACTCTGTTTTTGTGTGACATACAATT